CTGAAGAGGCTGGAAGGTCACTGGTGTCCCCTCCTGTGAGGAGTGAACGGAGGAGGGGACTTTGCTCTGCCACCTGCAAGGTCGCAGCCTCGCCCCTGCCCTCTTTCAAGAACAGCAGTTCCCCGCCCTTCCTCAGCAGAGGACTCACAGCAGCTGGGACACTGGAGGGCAGCGCCTAAGGTGTAGGAGTGAGGGCAGGAAGCCTGGGATGCCCAGAAACAGGAACCTGTGTCCTTGACATTTCTGATCTCAGGGCAGTCACTACATTACCTACTGTGAGCCTCGGTTCTCAGACACACGTCACCTTGGGTGGCGGTGAGCTATCATCCACACAGCTGGGTCTCCAGAGACATGCCAAGCCGGCAGGGCAGGCTGCAGTCAGGGTTGCAGGGTTGCGGGTTGCGAGGGCTGACCTCTGACCTCTGGCTACCTCCACATGTTGACCTCTGGCTACCTCCACATGTGCCTTCCTCTTCTGCAGGAGATCCTCAGGCCCTATGGCGCCTTCTGGCTCACCGCTGCCTTCTGTGTCCTCAGTGTCCTTTTCACGGTGACTTCTGTCCCTGAGACTAAAGGCAGGACTCTGGAACAAATCACAGCCCGTTTCGAGGGACGGTGACAGCCGCTTTCTGTAACTGGCAGCCCTGAGCTGGCCTGACTTCGGGTTTCAGGAGTAGACTGCCTGTAGCTGAGCCACACCTCGGTCTGAGCCTGGAGCCCCCGACTCCTCACCTCAGAGCCCCTCCTTGTCCAGGCTGAGACCCAGGCCCATGCTGTGAGGTTCACCGGGTTCTGGATCTAGTCTCTGCAGCCTGCGGCACACGCCGGACATCTGAGGAGCTGTGCAGCGGAGCCTCGCAGGAGTGTCTCCTGCCTCAGTCAGCATCTGAAGTGACGTGAGGCCTCCTGCCTGCTGTTTTCTGGCTGGGGATCTTTTGGCTCTTGGGTCCTAAGCATCTGCCTGTGCCTCACACTTGACTGTGGGATCAGAAAGGAATTTGGCCGCATAAAAGTTGGGCTCAGAGACAGGGTTGTGACCTCTTTGAGTGAGCCCAGATTGAGAAGAAATGTTCTAGTCAACCAAGCCCTCCTCAGCCCTGCCCAGAGATCCTGTGGATCCACCTTGGGGTCAGCCACCTTACCCATCACTTGGAGGTTCTTTCCAGCCCTTTCCTGGGTTCAGTGTCCTGGGTCAAATCTTGTTGAGTTTCCAAAAATAAAAAAAAAACAAAACTCTTTCTGTTTGGCTGTAATGGAGCCAGAAGTCTTTTGCAGGTTGCTTGTATCATGGGTCATGCATGAGACAGATCGAGTTAGCATGGTTGACAGCAGCCAGCCATCTGCTAGAAACTTGACTGGCATGGAAAAGCTGTGCCTTTCCAGAGGTGACCCCGAAGTGAGACCATGGCTCCATCATGAGGCTGTCCTCTGACACCCGCTGTCAGTTACTCAAAACAGCGGGCTTGCGTGGTGGTGCACTCGAGGCGGAGGCAGGGGGATCTCTGAGAGCGTCCTTCCACCGTGTGCACCTGGGACCCTGGACAGCAGGGGTCGTTCCCCAGCAGGTCATCTTGCCAGCTATCACGCCTGGCTTTCTGTGGACGTCCTGGATCTGAGTCAGGTCCTCAGGCTGTCACAGGCTGTCACAGCAGCCACTTTACTGACTGAGCACCCCAGCCCCTGGTGTCATTTTTTTACATTTATAGTGAGACACGTGTGTCATAGCTCACGTGTGAAGGTCAGAGGGCAGCTTTTGTCCCAGCTTTTGAAGCAAGGGCCTTTGCCCACTAAGCCATCCTTGCCAACTTCCAGTGTCTGTTAGGATCCTCTCTGGCTGATGGAAAGTGTGTTGCCGGTTAATCATATGGATGGAGCACTGCGGTAGCTTTCACCATCTTGGTGACTTAAATTGGACAAGAAAGAATGTAATTGTAAATCTGTTTTTGTCTGTGACTTTTTTATTTTATCTTGGGGACAGTCTCACTCTTAGTCCATCTCTCATCTCCTGATTCTCCTGCCTTAGCCCTTGGCTTCCCTGTTCCCTCTTGCGCTGTAAGGACGCCATTCTCCCTGCTGTCCTGGCTGTTTAGTTGATGCCGTTCCTGCTCTGTCCCGACTGTCTATAGTCAGTGGACGCCGATCCTGCTCTGTCCCGACTGTTTATAGTCAGTGGATGCCGTTCCTGCTCTGTCCCGACTGTCTATAGTCAGTGGATGCTGTTCCTGCTCTGTCCCGACTGT